GAGTGGGGAGGCCGCAGGGCGGCAGAGGTGATGGGGCGCCAGGCACCATCCCTCAGCTTCTAGAAGGTAGTCCAGGCTGGGGGCCAGGATGTGTGTGGTTAAAAAGCTCCCCAAAGTGACTGTCAGCAGCATTAGGGACCACAGGTGAACGGACCGCTTGCGTCCCACCAGCCGGTGGGAGCTGAGCCCGCACCTGGGCTCTGGCAGTTAGTGCCGCTCTTGCTAATGCGACCGACGGAGAGCACCGAGCGAGGCATCTGTCAGCACAGAGCCCACGGCCTGAGGCCGCCACTGCCAAGCCAGGAGAGCTGAGCGTGTCCCGCAAGGTTCACAGGGCCAGTTCAGCACCCAGGTGTCCAGAAGTTGCTTATTTAAAAGAGAGGCAAGGTGGAGCCCCAGATTCTGGCTTCCCTCCAGCCAATACCTGCTTTCCCAAACTCTGAAGGGACCACGCGGTCTCTGGCCGACAGGAACATGACCAGAGGCGGCGTGCCGGGAAAGGTGATGTGGAACTGTCAGGAGACCGGAGTTCAGTCCTGGATTCACCACTAATTATCCGGGTGACCTTGGCCGCATCGCTCTCCCCGCTGGCCCTGGGAAAGGAACACGAGGCTGGGATCCCCGGCACCGGAGGTCGAGCTTTTCAGTGGACGCAGCTGCAGGGCCTGACTGCACGCCCCGAGGGTACCCCTGTGCTGAGCTTCACCCTCAGGCCAACCAGCAGTGACACTGAAGCCCTTTGTTCTTTTAAAAAGGACGGGCTGGTCTGCCCCCCACCCCCCTCCAGGAACGCGCCCTCCGCCTCCCCGCGCGGTCCTCGACTTCTGGGCCGGTCACGAAGAGCCGGGGGAGCCCAGCTCGGATCCCGGGAGACCGTCCGCACAGACTGCTCTCGGTGCCGGCAGCCTCCTCGCACGGTGATGGCCTCCAAGAGCTGTGCAGCACAGACGAGGTATTTGCTACTTGGTTGTAACACGCTGCAACCCAAAGGAAAAAAACACACTTCTGTTCACTGGATGTACTTTAATGCGCAAAGAGAGCAGCCCAGGACGTCGGGGTCTCCACTCAGAGCTCTGCCAAGGACAGACCCACCCTTAAGGAGAGGGGCCCCAGCAACCTCTCAGAATGAGAACATCCTTTGTGGGTCCAAGGAGTCAAAGACGGGAACGCCGTGTGTTCAACGTTCAACGAGACAGCGGTCCCTGCCGGCCACGCTGCTCCGAGGAGGGGCACGGGCTTTATGAAGAATATTTAAAACGGCCCCGAAGTACTCATTCCATGAAAAGAGAAGCCATCATTATTTCCAAATGGGAATGCTATGAAGTCAGTCTTGAAAGTGCTGGGGGTGGGGGCGACGGGGCCGGAGCAGGGTCAAGGCTCTAAAGCTGGGATAAAAGTCCAGTAGAGCGGAAGCTGGCGGTTTCATTTTATTATGTGCCCCGAGTCTCTAATCCGCACCCTGGATCTGTATGCCGCGGGATCGTCAGGCCCAGAGGCCCGAGGCGAGAGCATCGCAGCCCGGGGGGACCGGGGATTACTTAGACAAGATCGATTCTTCCCTCTCTGCCGATGAAGGGGCCGTCTGCATGGGCTTTGAAGGGCTTCTCGCTGTCCCCGGAGCCGGGCAGTGCCGCCGGGGGGTGGCGGGAGGGGGGTGGGAGAGCAGAGGCAGGGTTGCCCGCGTGGGAACTAGACGGGTCAACACGGACGCGGCTGCTCCCTCTGGCTTGAGAAGCGGCCACAGTTCTGAGACGCAGCTCGGTCTGAGAAGGGTGAGACCTGGTCTATCAAGTATCGACCACAGCCCGTGGCACCTACCAGCGCTTCCATAAAGGAGTTTTGTTTGGTTTTGGGGTTTTGCCCCGATCTCTTTCAAGTTGCAGCCAAGATGCCACGGACACCCTGAAGGGAAGCCCCTCAACCCCCTGGACCTGAGTGCGGGTTGCTGACGGCTTCCGGAGGCAAACGACAACAAACCACACACACACACACACCCACACACACACACACACACACACCACGGGGGACTTGGAAACACCGTGATGTGGCGCCTGAGGGCCCGGATGACCTGGAGGTCCCAGCCATGCGTCCCTCGGCCTCATGACATACTCTGTCACTGCTGGCCACTCTGACTCCTCCCAAACCTATTTCCCTGGTCCTTCTGTCCCTTCGCCCGTAACCCTCAGCAGCATCTGTGGACACCCCAGCCCCGCACTTGCCTGACCTGTAAGCAGGAGCCCTGCCTGGCCCCAGGCTGTGTTCTCCGTGAGGATGAGGTCATGCTGGCCTCGTGTGGCCTCCGTGGGCCTAGCTCAGGGCATCTACAGAGAGGAGAATGCTCAAAAAGGGGGCTCCGTGCTGGTGCCACTCACCTGGTAGGACCCTGAGTGAATGACAGACAACGTAGGCGAGATTCTATTGATTTATTTTTGGCCAGTGGCGTTCGGGGAGCAGAGTGGAGGTGTGGGAGTGGGAAAGGCAGAGGTCGCGGGGCGCTGCCGGGAGGAGGGCCTGGGTGAACGGGAAAGCCCAGGGTGGCCACGAGGGAACTCTCCAGAGTGCTGACCAGCCTCAAGCTTCTGCCACAGGCCTCGTGCAGGGCTGAGAGGAGCTGCACACAAAAGGTCCTTGACATTTCCCAGGATTAAGGAATTAAAGCTCTTCATTTAGATGAACAAAAACCAGTTCCGTGCTTTCCAGATGGTAAAATGCCAGATTCTGTTGCTGGCTGCCAGGAGAGTCCAAGCCCAAAGACACCTGAACTGTTCTGTACCCACTTGGTGTGATGTTATTTTCTGCAGGAACAGCCTTGCAGTTAGAGAAACACATCCAAAGACATCTGGGCTCCCAAGAAAACCCAGACAATACCACCTACTTCCCTATGAAAACCGAGGCAACCGCAGGGAAAAGAACAGAGTCTGCAGAGCTGGGAGAGAGCCCCGCCGCCCTGATGCTGGCTGCCTTCTGCCCAGGTCCTGCTGGGCGGGGGAGATGGGGCGTCAGGGCGGAACACATTGCTCTCGGGCGCCTTCTGGGGATCACCAGAGGTGCCCCTGGGCCTCTCAGGACACGGGGGAACGTTTCAGGTCCTGGGACCATGATTCTATGCCAGCACGTCACGGCTGCCCAAGAGGCACTGCTGGGCGGTGGTAATTTTGGGTACGGCTCACTTTGTGCCCGGGTGGGGCGGTCATATGCCCGGACAGAACTGAAGATGGCTGTCGCTTTGGTGGGAGCATGTGGGTTGCTGTGGCAGCTGGTCTTTGGATTACCTCACTAAGAACACGTAACGTCAAGCGGGCTGTATGTATATATTTGGCCATGGATTCTGAGTTCCGCGTCCCTTCCCCACAGGGTAACAGCAGCCATCACTCACTGAGCACTTCCTCTGGGCAGCCACAGTGCCAAGCACTCTTAAGCTTTATCATCATGCAGAATCCTCACGATATGGACCCCACAAAGTAGGTTCTTTTTCTCTTTTTTTAAAATATTTTTAAATGTTTATTTACTCTTGAGAGAGAGAGAGAGAGAGAGCGCAAGCAGGGGAAGGGCAGAGAGAGAAGGAGACACAGAATCTGAAGCAGCTCCGGGCTCCGTCCGAGCTGTCAGCACAGAGCCCGACGCGGGGCTCAAACTCACAGACCATGAGATCACGACCTGAGCCGAAGTCGGACGCTTCACCGACTGAGCCCCCCAGGCGCCCGTATTATTTCCCCTTGTAACGGCCCCGGGACCTGAAGCGTGGAGACGCTGAGTCCCAGCTGGCGAGTCCATGTGGGGGAGAGCCGGTTGCACATCCGGCCCGGCTGACCCTAGAGCCTGAGTCTTCTCTACTGTGTCCACAGTGAAGAGACTGCGAAGAGGTGACAGTGAAGACAAGAGGAGACGTGAGGAGGGGTCAGCGAGGCGGGAGATGGGCCGGGGGAGGAGAGCTCCCCTAGGAGAGGAGAGCGGTCACTGCGGGCGAGCACCCGAGGGAAGTTGGGGGAGCCACGGACTGGAGGCGCCCCGTGCACTCCATGCCTGTCGACTCAACCTCCCACCACTTCTCTGAGGCGAGTATTCGTCTGAGCTCCATCTTACACACGGGGAAACTGAGGCAAGTCGGGCCACAGAGGGAGTAGCGGTCACCTGGCAAAACGGCTCTCAGTCACTGTGCCGGACTGCCAGTCTCTGGAAGGGTCACTGCGGGGAATGCTGACCGGGGCCCGAGACTGGGCGGGGGCGGGGGGGGGGGGGCGGGGCCGCCGGGGGGCCCGGGGGAACAGGGCTGGGAAATGCAGGGGGGCCAGGCTTCCCGGAAGCACTTGCCGGATTCTGGCCTGGAGCGCACGGAGCCTCGGGCCACCCGTCAGGAAGAAGCCGGCTACAGAGATGAGGCCGACTCCCTGCCTCCTCTACCGGCAGAGAGCCAAGAACCGCCTCCAGCAGGGTGGGCCGTGCCCTCCCCCTCCACCCCGACCGTGGAACGGTGTAATAGTAAGTACCCGAACAAGGCTCTCGGGCATTACCACGCTCGGCGGTGGCGGAGGGCGCCTTGTGGAGGACGGTGTCGGGCTATCGCGAGGGGGAAATGAATGATCAAATCTGTTCTGTGGATACTCGCACGTGCCCCTTACAAGAAAAGGCGGTGACGAAGCAGTACTCAAGCAGCAGGCGGACAGTGATGATCCGTCCCCGCCACTCTCAGCGCCCAGGGCCCCTCGGGCTGGCGCGCCACAACATCCACTCCCGTCTTCCTTCTGCTTATCCAACCCGCTCAATACCGCCCGGCTCTCGGCTCGGGAAAGGCTGCCCTCGGGGACGACCCTGGAATTGTCTGCCACCGCTCCTTCCCTGAAGCGAGTCGATGGCCCGGTCTAGGCCCCCGCAGGCCTTCCTCTGGCACCACCCCTGGTCTGGGGTTGGCCCGCTGGCCCTCGCACCTCGTTTTATCTTTCTGGGAGCGCCAGGGCACACGAGGCAGCAGCGGGAGGCACAGGAACACGGTGCCAAATGCCGCAGTTCGTTCTGCGACCGCACGGCCCGGGGAGGGCCGCGCTTTCCTCTGAAGCCTCTGGAACGATGACTGTGGAGTCCGAGCTGGGCATCCGCGGGCTACGGCTTCTGTGCTTCCCTGCGACTGGAAACGTCGCGAAGGATGCGCCAGCCCCCGTGGTACGATCTCTCCCGTCCCCACCTGCCCGTCTCGGCTGCACACGCGCCCCCACCTCTCCGCCTCCCCGCCGGGACTTAACGCAGGAAGTAGCCGCAGATTTGCTCGCACTCTCCCTAAGTGCCGGGATGAAAACGCACACGGTTTTGAAACGAGGAGGCTAAAGATGAAAACGGTGGCTGCCCCTGCAGAGTTTAAATGTCAGGAAAATACGAACACGCCTGAAACCCTTCCTGGCTCTTTGTGCTTCTGCCCTTTCAGACGGCCCCCCATTCCTAAGTCCCATTCTCCGAGTCTGCTCTGCTGGAGACGGGCCGGCTATAAAAAGCCTCTTCGCCCTAGGACGAAGCGCACAGAGCCTCCGGGGCACCGCAGGAAATGACAGGAGCCTGTCGGCAGCCGTGGCCCCACAGCACGCTGTCCCCAGCCCTCCGCCGGGGGAAGGGGTCTAATGAGGAAGAGGGAAAGGGCCTACTGACAGTCCCCGCTGCAGACAAAAGGCAGGCCACATTTCGATTCACGTGGGGGGACTTGCGACAGGACCTCGTGTGCCTGTCTTTGACCCAGGGAGTCCCGCGCACGCGGCCTGAGGAGGATTTGACAGGCGTGTGCTTCTATTCTCTTAGCTCCTGACATTATCTTCCGGGAATAAAAAGGCAAGCGTGAGCTCCGCGCGGCTCTGTGAAGCAGCCCCCCTCCCACCACCTTGCTTTGTCGCATCGAGGGCAAGACCCGGAAGGGGTCCCACCTTCCCAGCACGCCTCTCTCTGCGGCCGCCGCGGCTGCTTGCGGGCAGGGAAATACACAATCCGCGGTAACTGCCACCACGTGGCGAAGGAAGTCCTGGCGCTCTGTGGCACAGCAATGCTGGGAGAGGGTGCCTCCCGCCGTTCGAGGAGGCCGGGGCCGGCGGCACACAGCTGCGGCACCTGTCACCACGGGCACTGTTTTCTGCCAGGGAGAGCCCCTCTTACCGATGACCAAGGATGCTCCTTGACCGTGTCACTGTCGTCTGAAAATGCACTCTGCTCCTGATTCGGGTCCGGCCTTTCCGGACAGTGGGGATAACTAGCCCTCCCCTGCCTGGTCCGCCTGCGTGGGTGTCAGAGGGCCGACGCCAGGCAGGAGGGGACGTTTTCCGCGGCACTGTCAGTTGCTTTCTGGGGACTGCTACCAGTAACGTCGATCGGGGACGCCCGAAATCTAAGTGGGTGGACAAGCAGCAAATAGGATTCTGAGACAAAGCGGAGACTAAAAGGGAGAGTTTAGAAGTGTTGCCCCCTAACTCTTCTCTGTTGGCATTCTGAGTCTGAAATGCCAAATAGCATCCAATAAATCGCACCAGATCCTCAGAACCCGCAGCAAAGTGGCCCCAGCTTTGCTCTATTGTGCGGTGTGTCCCGTCCCCCAACGCGGCCCGAGACTCACAGAAAAATAAGCAAGGTACCGTCCTGCCCCTTCGTGAGCGAGGCCACACTATGTGTCCCCATCCTCCCCACCAGCGTCTAACGCAAACACAGGACTTTTTAAACAAAACCCCAAACCCTTTCCATGTGATGATGATTAGTTAAAAGCTTCCCTGATAAAAGATTGAGCTTAATTCTATACTATTTTCCAGTATCTTCCTTACACTGACAGCAAACAGACAATGTTTTAGTCGGGAAGCCAGAGGACTCTTTAACCCGCAAACCCTTACCTGTCCCTGTAACAGGAAAAGGACTCTTCACTCCCTGTAATCAGAGGGTACCATCACCTATCCCCAAATTACAGCTCGTTAATTGAGTACAGGTCAGTATCAGAGGTCAAGTCCATTTAGGTAACAACAGTTGAAGGTACGGATGACAAGGAGCGTCACAAAGGGCTCTGTCCACATACGACGCGCCGATCAGCAGTTGAGGTAAAACCCCCATCCCTACAAATGCGTCCGCTTCTCCTGCTTCAGACGCGTTGCATAAACTACGAGGGAGGAACTCGGGGGGGGGGGTGCTGCTCCACGTCTCTGGCTAGACTAATATAAAATTTTAAACACTGCTTCTGTGTGTGTTTGTGGTTTTAAACAAATACAAAGAGTGCTTGGTGGGTTATTTTTAGGGGAGGTAGAATAAAAATATAGTACTGTCTCTCCACATCTATGCCTGACCAAATCTGTGTCTCACACATTTTACAACTTCCTAATAAACTTTACGCTCGCATTCAAAAATACTTAATACTACACAGAACATTAAAATACACACACACACACACACACACACACACACACACACGTATATATATGCAAAGGCAAGCATGTGCAAGCCCTTGTCACACGGGGTATTTGTATGGAAATTGGACCATTGTCAAAAGGCCAGGTTATGGTCTGCAATGCTCATGGCTCCCCGAAGCCACCGCCTGCCTGTGCGGAGCCCGGGGAAGGGAGCTCATCGCAGTACCACAGAGGGACACCAAGAGGAAGCAGGTTAAAAAAACAAAACCAGGGGCGCCTGGGTGGTGCAGTCGGTTAAGCGTCCGGCTTCGGCCAGGTCACGATCTCGCGGTCCGTGAGTTCGAGCCCCACGTCGGGCTCTGGGCTGATGGCTCAGAGCCTGGAGCCTGTTTCCGATTCTGTGTCTCCCTCTCTCTCTGCCCCTCCCCCGTTCATGCTGTGTCTCTCTCTGTCCCAAAAATAAATAAACGTTGAAAAAAAAAATTAAAAAAAAAAAACAAAACCACTTTAATGCTCCTCACCATCGAAGCGACACACAGTGCAAGATAATGACGGCCGTCCTTTCTCTTTAGAATGCTTTTCCACGGCTGCTGGGGGAAAACCGACGAACGCAGTCAGCCTGGATAAAGTCGGCATGCAAGGCTGAGACCTTGCGCATGCTCAACAAGTACGTGCCGCAGGTATGGTCGCTTAGATAAGGACGCTACGACTCACGTGCTGCAGCCTGCCCGCGACCACACACATTTTCCTGCAGGCTCTGCAGGCTCTTTTCTCCGTTCTCCTTCTAGCTAGCTCAGCTGGGTAAAGGAGTGTTAGAGGAGTCAAGACCACCATTTTCTTTTTAAAATAAACCCAATTTTGGACTAGAAAAGTTGCAACGATGGTGCACGCAGCTCCCACGTACCCCTCGCCCAGTTTCCCCCTGTTAATATCCTTCACGACCGGGTGCCCTTGGCACAACTAAGAAACCAGCATTGGTTACTTACTATTGATTCAACTCATTTTCTCATTAACATCCTCTTTTTGTTTCACGATCCAACCCAGGATTGCATGTTCTATTTGACTGTGATAAGATCGTGAAGCTTTAGGGGCGCCTGGGTGGCTCAGTCGGTTAAGCGTCTCACTTCGGCTCAGGTCATGATCTCACGGTTCATGGGTTTGAGCCCCGGGTAGGGTTCTGTGCTGACAGCTCGGAGCCCGGGGCCTGCTTCGGATTCTGTGTCTCCCTCTCTCTCCGCCCCTCCCCTGCTCATACTGTCTCTCTCTCAAAAAAACATTAAAAAAGAAAAAAAAAAAAGATCGTGAAACTTTAATGCTTTTACAGGCTCCCTAAATGTGTGGTGTTGCGTCTCAGACCCCTCTCCTAGCCCCAGGCATCTGTCCTATCTTAGCCTTTCACGTACAAGGGTCCAGGGAACAACGTGGAGTGATGTATTAAGCACCATTAGAGGGCTGGTCCATTATGCTGCTTTGATACAAAAGCCTTAAGCTCACTGCTTAACGGGGACGGGGTCTCCTTTCGGGGTGATGAAAAGGTTTTGGGAGTAGAGGGTTCCACAGCACCACAAAGGTTCTACAAATCACAGAATTGTGTTAATTTTATGTTGTGTGAATTTCACCTGCATTACAAAAAAAACAAAAAAAAACAAAAAAACACAAACCTCCGTGCTCTCCCTCTAAGCTACCTGGCATCCCTTGGACGCAACTATGACTCAAGTGGAAATGACGTGGGCTCAGCTTTCAAAACCGTGTCCCTCCTCCGCACCAATCCCTTCAATGGAATCGAGAATAAGATCCAAATTCTGCAGCAGGACCTAGAGGCACCTGCCCAGCCTGGGCTCTGCCTCTCTGCTCCACTGCACGCTCCGATGGCCCAGCCTTTGATGGTGCTTAGAACGTGCTCCTCAACACCAGGTTTCTGGGCTGCCGCTTCCGTGGCCCGCCAAGCATCTCCCGTGGCTCTCCGCACGACCGGCGCGTCTCATGAGGTGCCCGTCCTGTTAGGTTTTGCCCCATAAAGTCCTCCTGGCACCGCCCCAACGAGAGGGGCCCCTCCTGTTCTGGATTTCGGGCCCTCATTAACAACCTAGAGTCGTCATCTTCCTCGTCTGTCTCGTTTTCCCTTGTATCCCTAGCACCTCGCGCTAGGTGCCTGGCACATGGCAAAAGGGGCTCAATAAATAACTGTTGCTGAGCTGGATGAGGCAGCAGAGGAAATTGCAACCAACTCCATCATGTCCACTGCCGAATGAAAGCAGAAGACAGGGGATGGCTGAGGGCAGGGGAAAGTAGCTGGTACCCCGCAGCGGAACCGGCTGGGGCACTGTGGGGGGGGTGCGGGGAGCCTGCGTAAGCCCCAGGTGCTGAGCTGCTCCGGTGAAGGGCCCCTTCCACCATCAGAAGCTGGGAGAGGATCTTCTGTAGTCACATTGCCTTTTTTTCCCGACATTTCCCAAACACCATTTCGTGGGGAAGCCCGACATTGGAAAAAGAAGTCACCAGGGTGTTAGGTGGGGGTGGGGGTAGGGTGAAGACGGGGCCAGCCTGCCTCTCTCAGCCTGTGCTAGGCACCTGCGTAGACCACAGGGCTCTGAGGAATGGAGCTTAAAAACTGGGTTAGCTTGGAACTCAAAAGCCTCTGTGTTTTTCTTTTTTCTTTTTTTTTTTTTTAAGGTCTGATTTCTGTACAGCAAAACTCACCCTTTGTAGGTGTGAGAGAACAGGAAAAAATACATGTGTTTTTTTCATCTCCGTCCCTGGTTCCTGGCATAGAGCTCCTGAAACCCTAAGCGACAGAGTGCTAGGGGTATCTCTCGTTCTAATGAGGGGACCATGGGTGGGCACCTGGATGGGGGCTGGTCACCAGAAAGACCAAGCCATGATCAGAGTAATTAGAGGCTTAGAATTTTCCGTCCCATTCCCCCATCCTCCAGAGAAAGGGAGTGGGGCTGGAAACAGAGTTAATTATCAAGTATGTCTGCGTGAGGGGGCCTCCATGAACTCCCAGCAGCACAGGGGCGCTGGGCTGGCTCAGTTGGTGGACTCTTGATCTCAAGAGCTGTGAGTTCGAGCCCCACGCTGGGTGTAGAGATTACTTAAAAATAAAATCTTGGGGCGCCTGGGTGGCTCAGTCGGTTAAGCATCCGACTTCGGCTCAGGTCACGATCTCACGGTTCGTGGGTTCGAGCCCCGCATCAGGCTCTGTGCTGACAGCTCAGAGCCTGGAGCCTGTTTCAGATTCTGTGTCTCCCTCTCTCTCTGCCCCTCCCCCACTCGTGCTCTGTCTCCCTCTGTCTCAAAAATAAATAAACATTAAAAAATTTGAAAGAAAGAAAAGAAAATCTTAAAATCCCAGTAGTACAGGGCTCGGGGCGCTTCCAGACTGGCCAACACAACCCCAGAAGGGCGATGTGCCCCCACTCCACAGGGACAGAAGCATCTGTGCTTGAGACCCTCCCAGACCTTGCCCTGTGTGCCTCTTCATCTGGCTGTTCACTTGTATCCTTTCTCGGGTCCTTTAATAAACTGGGAGGAGTTAAGTAGGCATGTCCCTGAGTTGTGCGAGCTGCTCTGGCGAATTAACAGATGGGCGCCAGGGAACCTCTAATCTACGGCTGGTAGCACAGAAGCACGGGTAAGAACCTGAACTTGTCACTGCGGTGTCTCCGGGTACACAGTGTCAGACTGAGCTAAGCTGTAGGACACCCAGCTGGGGTCCGGGACTTGCCTGTTATTGTGGGGCAAACCCCTACACGTCTGGTGACCAGAAGAGGCAGAAGTGAAGTGTTTTATGTGCCCAGTAAAGGCGACTCACTGGAGACAAACACAGGAGGGAAGGACTGGGGTGTCCCCTGTATAGTAAGGAGAACGCAGGTCTTCCTCTAGGGTAGGTATACGGTTCCAGGAGTTTGGAAACAGAATAGTGTGCAATCACCACCACAATTAAGATCCAGAATATTTCCATCACCCTAACACATCTCCTCTTGCCCCTTTGGGGACAATCTCTTGCCCTTACTCCTAGCCCCTGGAAACCACTGGTCTGATTTCTGTCCCTAAGGCCTTCTCTTTTCTAGAATGTCATATAAGTGGAATCGTATCGCGAGCAACCTTTTGTGTCTGGCTTTTTTCGTTAAACACACACACACACACACACACACACACACACACACACAAAACAACCCTCTAACTTAAGACCAATGTTTATACTTTAAAGCATTCACATTTCTCTTACTGGCTCATGAGTAAGAAGCAAAAAATAAAGCTTACCTTCTGGAAAACTTGATAGTTGGATTTGGACCATATGTCAAGCTGGGGGTAAAAGAGAGAAAAGCATCATCAGCATCGCTTTTAGGATCTTGGACTTCAAGAGATGACGCTGTAACCCCTGCTATACCTGTCAGCTTGAAATAATAAACATGATTACGGAATAACAGAACCATGGCAGTGCACAGGCATCTCAAATGTCCTGCTTGACTTTCTTCTTTCTCAGCCTGTCAGTGATTTAAGGAAGCCAACAGAAGGGACACAGAGAAGTCATTTGGAGCCACCTGCTGCATCCAAGGCCACACGAGCTGAGCTTCTGGCTCACTCTTTTAACCTGGACTCCTACCATGGTTCTCTTGAATGCCAATGTCAATCCTGCCTCAGGACCTTTACACTTGCTGTACACTTTGCCTGAAATCCTCACATGGCTCCTCGTAGCTCTCTGCAGCTCAAATGTCACCTTATTAGAGAGTCATATGCCAGTTACCATGTCTAAGATATTATTTCCACATGTGCTATCTTGATTCTCTTTGTCTTTTTAAAAATTTGAAATTTTCATTATGCTTAAAACTGTCTGGAACTTTTTTTTTTTTTTAATTTTTTTTCAACGTTTTTTATTTATTTTTGGGACAGAGAGAGACAGAGCATGAACGGGGGAGGGGCAGAGAGAGAGGGAGACACAGAATCGGAAACAGGCTCCAGGCTCTGAGCCGTCAGCCCAGAGCCCGACGCGGGGCTCGAACTCACGGACCGTGAGATCGTGACCTGGCTGAAGTCGGACGCTTAACCGACTGCGCCACCCAGGCGCCCCTGGAACTTTTTTTTAAGTTTATTTAAGAGAGAGAGGGAGAGCAGGGGAGGAGCAGAGAGAGAGAGAGGGAGAGGGAGAGGGAGAGGGAGAGAGAGAGAGAGAGAGAGAGAGAGAGAGAATCCCAAGCCGGCTCTGAGCTGTCAGCACAGAGCCCAATGTGGGGCTCGATCCAATCAACTGTGAGGTCATGACTTGAGCTGAAATCAAGAGTCGGACGCTCAATAGAATGAGCTACCCAGGCGCCCCCAGCCTGGAACGTTCTTTTGCTCATGTTGTCCTGATGTGGGACCTAGCATGTCATAGACATCAGTAGGTCTTTGCCGAGTGGAGGAAAGCTAGCAGCTTCCAGCTGCTGAGGACCTGTTCCATGCCAAGCACCACCCTGGGCCCTCCATATGCACTCTCACTTAATCCCTGGAATAAGCCAGTGTGGCTGGTCCCACTAGCAACCTTACTTTCCAGAATGAGACAATGGTTCGGAGCCATCTGATTGCCTGTGGTAATGTGGAGGGGCTTCCTTATGGATGGTCTCCCCCTGTGGTGCTCAAGCTTGGCTGGTCAGAAGCTGCGGGCTGTTTTTGTTTTTGTTTTTTGTTTTTGATGTACAGATTCCTTGGTTCCTCCCCAGGAGTGTCTGAATTAGCAGTTTTACAAGTGGGCCTGAGAATCTGTTCATTTGTTTGTCTGTTTTAGCTTTGCTTCCCAAACGGTGACACAACTGTGGTGGCCGGTCAGGCCAGGGACCCTTGATCTTGCACACCCCTCCTTCACAAACGAGGGAGCAGGAGATCCCGGCTGGGGCTTGGAGTAAGCCCAGGCCAGTCCTCCTCTGGCTCTACCTGATCGTGCACAGGGCACTTCGGTGGTTTATTCTAATCAGAAGGATTTTTGTTTTACAGTTTTGTTATGATGAATCAAGTCAATGCATTCTCATTGTTTCATGAGTTTAGAACAAATGAAGTATAGCAAAAATACAATGACCCCCAACACAGTGCTGGCTCAAGGATAGTGCAGATTAAAAGACAGGCTGTCAGTATGTCCCCTGGGTATGTCCCCCTCCAACTCTAACATAGGAGTTCAAGAGCTGAACAAATTGAAACAGCTGGTCAATGGGCCTCTTGGAACCTGCCTTTGGGGGTGGCCAGTGGTCAAGGTAGAAGCCTGAGATACGACTGCATGGCCTATAGGTTGTGTTATTGATTTTGGAGCACCTGGGAACAAGAGAAGCAATCAGATGGGACGATTCCTCTAAGAAGACAGGGAGTGGAGTGTTTTGCTTAGCTGGACCACTTCAGGGTTTTGTTTTGTTCTGAGGAAAACACCAAAACCTGCTTTTCCGAAAATGGTCCTTGGAAATCAAAAGGTAGTCTGTGAGCTGGCATGCATTCGGTTCTCCCCGGCTTCTTCCTGTTCAGAATTAGTTTCGTGTAAACTTCGCCGTGTTTGAGAACTTTCAGGCCAAGGAGGAGGCGGAGAGGATTCTAAGGAAGCCCTCTGACCCCCTGCGTGGCTCCTGCTGGAGAGGGCAGGCTTAGCGGATCCAAGCCCAGGAAAGGGACTGGAAGAACACAGCCTGAACGTTCACTCGAATTGGCCCACCCCTCCCCGTTCCCTCTGCTGTTACCAGCTCCTTCCCGGTTTCCACAGACGCCCCTAACTGACCCTGCTCCTTCTACTCTGGCTCAGCTGCTCTCCAGAAAGGGGGTATCAATGTTCAGTCACTGTCCCCTGCCCACCCCCCCACCTCCACTTAAACCACTTGATTAAAAAAAAAATCTTTAGGCGTTAGAATTTTAATTTGGCAGGTTAGCAATTTGTAGGGGGAAAAGTGACATGTTACCTCCAGGTAACTCCGAAGGAAACCTCAGAAGAACTCTATGAAATGAATTCCCCACACTGTCCATTGTGGGGAAGAAAAGCGGCCGGCCAGCCGGTCGTGCCTAGGGGAAGTCAGGTCCCTGCTGGGTTCTCAGGGCCACAGTGTAGCCCAGGGCTTTAAAATGCTGCACTTAAAGATTATTCAGAGAGGGCAGAACGAATAATATTGATTTTTTTTTTTTTTTTTTTTTTTTGTAGCTCTTAGCTCTACCAAATCACTGCCAAGACGACAGGGAGATGCCAAAGATTCTAAATCTACATTTTAGGGAGAAAAGCATCAGTGTCTCTACTTGGAACTGATGCCGCTCTCCTTCCATTTGAAGCCCACAGATGTTTCTTCCGAGGTTCTCCACGGTTTATCCCTCCTGCCTGCCTGTTCCCATCAGACGTAGGCAGACTAAGACATAAACACAGGGCCATGGAAAGAGAGACAAGGAAGAGGCTGCACAGAAACCAAAAAGTTCTAGTTTTTATTTAAAAGAGACAATTAAAAAAAAAAAAACAAAACTCTTCCGTATCTGCAGACTGTTTTAATGGAGAAATTATCCAGGGAGAAATACGCACAAGTTTAATTAAGAGGTGGACTCTCCAGCCTAATTGTGGCTTCTCAAAACACACCATGCTCATTCAAAGTGAGCACGCTGCTCTTTTCGGAAGGTGGTTTAAATATATTATTCAGGACCCTAGGGAATAGCTCCAACCATCTGGGAACGAAGGATGTCAGGCGATACAGCCTATGTAACAGGTGCACACGGGTAAGAAAGGGATCCGACGACAATGGGTCCCTGCGTTGCTGCAAAGGCACAGCAGGCAGTTTGTACCTTGATTTTCTGCTAGATTTATGCCAAAGAAAGCCACTGAAGTGAGTGTTCTGGAGTCAGTGCCCTGCCTTTCCTCAGGGCCAGGAAGATTTCAGAAATTCATTTCAGGGAACCAGGACGGATCCAAGTGAATATTTATTAGCTTCAGCTTATTTGCTGCAGAGGCAGGCATGGCTACCAATTTTTTACTGGCTGTGATATTCAAAAAGGAGCCTTCTGGAAGCTGTAAACTTTCAGCCTGATGAATGGGAAATTATTCTGCACTACAGGGAAAGAAATTAAAGCACCCCTCAGTATTCTGGGCGAGCATTAGGAAAACCTTAAAATGGAAGAGCCAACTGCATGGTAATTGGTGGCTGAATCTGCAGTCTTAGGAGTAGCCTCTGGGCCTCTGGGGATTGGAATGAGTATTTGGGGGGTAGGAGTGTGCTCTATTCTTGGGTAAAATGGAAACAAACCCCACAGACGATCAACTGCTCCAGCATAGACACATCAGGTTCGACATCAAGACGTCAAAGGGCCTCTCGACTAACGAGAATGGTGACAATCAGCTGAGTTACCAAAGAGAACACTCAGCACGCCCAACGTCAGGAGGCGAGGACACGGCGGCTACATCACTGACCCCCGCCATCGGCATCTCTAGCACACCCAGCGAGGGCAGACGCCATTCGCGAAGGACCATGCATTTGGTCCGCACGATACCTGCGTTACCTTTCTAAATGCTTCCAGGGTTCCGGACGAGGATGATAAAACCATTCCCGACTCACAGAGGAGGACACTGAGGCTCACAGAAGTTGAGTAACCTGCCCAAGACCACACAATGAGTATGTGGTGGAAAATTCAAAACCAGGCCTGTCCCCAGAGGCCCAGCTGTCAACCTGGAGGACTGCCTATCGGCTAGAATCCAGGAGTGCCGACTGCTAGCGCCCCTGAGCTGTCGTGGCTGTTGCGGGGGGCGGGGGGCACACTCTTGCGAAGTTCAGCAGGACAAGTCTGCTCCGAGGCCTGCTCATGTGACAGTCGTCGCCACTGAAGTGAAAACTTCTGGCAGCTTATCGGGAACTTACCAATTCTTCATTTCCAAAAACACAGTACAAGATACTATAAATTATCTAAAACGGACAATTCCAAAGAAAACGTAGAAAGCCTCACGAGGGTCTTCCAACTTTTAAAGCTTTTATTTATTAGCAGCTTCACCTTGCAAGGTCAACAGGTGATGAGTCTGTGGGGGGTGGAGGGCCACAGACCAGCAGCGGTCCTACACTTCTCCGTGACTGTCCCGGTTTGCCAAACCATCCGCTTCTACGTGGTCCCCTTCTTAATGTGCCCTCTCTTCCCTGGAGAATACAGAGGTGGGCAAGTCTTCCCAGAGAGAGTAGTGGTACAGGTCGGCTGCTCAACTTTTCACTTGCCATCAGGACAGACGTTCGTTGCCAAAAACTGCTGAAAGCACAACTCCGGGGTACCCTCTGCATGCGAATTACACCGGGTCCCCTTCCCCGCCTTCCCCCCTTCCCCCATAAGCAACGAGAGGCCGTTTTTCTGAAGGTCGTCTGAACAATTTCAAAGGCTATAACAAATCAAAATGTTCCCTGCATCTCATATCAAACGGGGCCGATGCCAACACTTATTAGAGAAATCAGATTCCAGCTTCCCCAGCCCCCTCGACCCCCCTCCCCTGCCACGCACACACCCCACTTTGAAGTGGGAAGAAGAATGCAGGGATCAGAAATCACCCTGGAGACAGCTCTGGCTGTCTTTGAAGGTTCCCTTTGATACTACTATTTCTCTCCCTCTCTTTCGCTAGGAGGCTAAAAGCTGCCTTTTTTATTGATATGGGGTAATTAATGAAGCTATAGCATTAACATAACCTAAATCCCCTAATAAGATAAATTCAACCGAGACACTTATACTTCTTCAGTTAAGTCTGACGGGTGTAAAATCAGGACAATGGCCAGGTATTCAACTTAAATCCGCCTTTTAACATGCTGAGTCATGGCTCTCCGCTCCTCCCTGGTTACCGTGAATAGCGGGTTGGTAAGTTTTAAAAGCATTTTTGTATTTTATTAGAGGAATGAGTGTACAGGAGCTTGATATCAAAAATACGCATCCCAGGTAAAGAGGCAGACCGATTAGGGCAGTGGTGGCCGGTGGTTACTGCAAAATGCAAAGTGACAGCCTTGCAGGGATTCTGACGGGGAAAAAACCTGCCCGGTCTGGAAATGAGGGCGGGGGGGGGGGGGGGACGGGTAGCGGAGGGTGGCGCTGGGCCACTATTGCAACCAAAGGGCCAATTAAACTTTTCAGGACGTGCGGGCTGCTTGGGGTCTGGGGGACACAGACCTGCTGCGGTCGCAGAGGTTCAGGCCCCAGCAAGTCGGTGGCTTTCCAAGCCACACCCACCGTATCAGTGGCTGTGCTGAGACTGCAGCAGATTACCCCCAGGCCAGCACCCGGGCACCAGCTCAGCAAACACAGGGCTGCAGGTTTGGAACAGCAAAACTGCAGGCAGCAATCTGTTCTTGCGGACCACACCCCAAGCTCCCACGGCTCCTTCCAAAGGTTACGTTTTCTTTGGGGTAGGCGAGACATTTCCACACATTAATTACCCTGATGCTTACGTGTATATAAATATATATAGATTCACATCCACCAGCATCAGTACTGAAAATAGAACGCTAATAACGTCTGCATGGTTTTGTAAAGTGCTCTGAAAAAAAGAAGGGGCTAATCAAATTGGCTAGGATTCGATTCCGGGCAGACCAGCCGATTGAGGGCATCTCGGCCAGATGAGGTGAATGTACCTTTAAAACCACCAGCGACTCGGTCCTCTCGATCTCACTCTTCCCAGTGTTAGGGTCCCTGCTGACCACTTGGGCCGATGTGCACAGCTGTAAAACGCGGCGAGAGGCCTCCAGTATCGCATGTGTGATGTGAATCATAGCTGAATTCAGCTTCCCAGACACACACTCGGGGTCCTGATGAGCAGGGAGCCCACGCTAATCTCTCATCAGGAAGACACGTGCCATGTGCACACGTGTGTGTACCTCGTTCATTTTCTAATTTACTTATGACTTCACTCCCTGCTGCTTCCTTGGGTCCTGTTGTGATGTTTGGTTCGCCACTTTCCCATCCCCGCTGAAACAGTTTCACATCCCGCGTGGGCTTCTCCGGCTATCCCTTCCCGTATGTCACCGGGCTTCTCCGGCTCACCGGGCACCGAGGCACAGCCCCGGGACAGAGTCACAGGACACAGTCGGGGCCCTTGAGGTGCTCCTGGCAGACGGGGTCTGAGGCCTGGCGTGGTGTGACCGCGGGCAAGTCGCTGTACCATTCCGGGGCTCAGTCTCCTCGTCTGCTGAACGAGTCTGACTTAGACAGAACCTAGGACTCTATTACCCCCGTGGGCCAAGTTTGCTCAGCAGGACACCTACAAGGTCAACATAGGGAATCATCTTGGTGTTTCTATCAATTGCAAGATAGAAACGTAAACAAATAACCAGGAGGTGCTAGTTCTAATCCTGGACAAAGACCGTTCTAAACGCTACGGGCGTGTTCACGAGGAAGCGAGCCTGTGCTGCGTTCGAACGCACACCTGGGCCTGTGTCTCCAGAGCCCACGCTCGTACAAGAGGCTCCTGGGAAAATGGGGACAGGAAGAGAAAGAGGATGGCAGGAGGTCAGTGTGAAGGGCAGAGTGAGTCTGTCAGGTGGACAAGGGGGAGAAAGCATCCCAGGCCAAGGGCACAGAGGGTGCAGACGGGTGACAGAGTCGTGGGAGCCCCAAGCGGCACAAAAGGCTGGAAGATGAAGCTTGCATATGGAGACGGGCGGCAGGCGAGGTCACGAAGGCAGGGGCCGCATCACTCGACATTTCTATGCATTGCTAAGGAGCTCGGATTTTATTCTAGAAGCCAGGGTTTTCAGAAGCATTGCTGCTCAACGCCACTGTCACAATGTACTGTGAGATTAAAGGGAGAAACGATGAATTTGGGGTTCAAATAAGTTGGGAAAACATCACACACTATGTCCTCCTCTAGGGAGATTCGTAAGACACTCAGCAACCTAAAGCTTCTAGGAATTTCTACGGTCAAAACGCCTACTGACCCTTCCCTAACCCCGTGTTTCTCAGACGTTTTGACTGTGGCCTGCTTCGCGTTCAACACTTATTAACAGTCTACTTTCCTGTCTGCTTTGGGCAATGCGGGGTGGTGCACAGGAGTCATGTGCTTGGCTGTGTATCCTGGGAAGACCACTCTGGAAGCCAAGGGAAGGACAGGCCGTGGGAGGGAAATAAGACTGGAGACGAGGCACGAGGAGGCCAGTGCACTCTCTCCGTTGAGAAATGAGAACCCGGAAGGACAGGCGGGGCCCAACTTGGGAGAGATTTAAGCGGGAGAATCGCCAGAATCCACTAGATTTGAGGGAGGGGACGGTTTCAGTGGCTAGGTGGGGTACGATTAACAGCAGCGGGAAACCAAGTTTCGGGAGGAAGCGTGACGGGCTGAATGTGAGGTGCACCTGGGGAGGAGAGGTCCCACCTAGACACAGGTCGCGAGCGATCCTCGTGGGCTGACACACAAAACCACGGCGTGGGGGGGACGGTCGGAAGCCCCTGAAGGGGAGCGACCAGAGAGAAATCCTAGAGACGTACATTCGCGACTGTTTTCTAAGTCCCTTGTTTAGGTGCAGAGTAAGAAGGACGTTAGTTATCTACTGAGTACGGACTAGGTGGCAAAGTGCCAAGTGCGTTCCGGGTCTTATTCAGGACCCTTCCGGAACGGGGCAGTTAAATGCCACGTGAAAGGGATCAGGCAAAGCAGGTAAAACCTCACTCCTCAGAATCTAACATCAGAGAATGTCTCCTTCCTCTCTTGAGTCTGGATCTCGTATCGCATGGTCGCTACCGCTGCTTAGCTCTCTAGGGTTCTAGCCTTCTGTCCCCAGTGCACCTGTGAGACCCTGGACGGCAAGGGCTGTGTTTCACACCAGCCGTGACTACGGAGTCGTGAACCTCGGACAAAGGCAACGAGAACCACAACTCTCAATGGCCAGGAGCAGCGACGCGGGGGCTCCTGGCCAGGGTACGTGCTACCCCGGGGCTGCTTCTGCGGAGGCTAACCAGTTTGGAGCTGCTCGTCAGAACGGCCGCCAGAGTCCACGAATCGTACACAGGATCACAAATCACACACACGCCCGCCCTGATGACGCACATTATTCTGCATCCCTGCTCTAAAGAGTCACTCTGGTGTTTCGAAAGAGAAACAAGAAACCTCCCCTCGAGGAATGCTTTGTTTTCAATGGGGAGACATCCGAGAACTTGGCAGAGTCCCTGAAGTGAGAGCAGCTTCCCTCGTCGACAACACTTGGGTGGGACGTGGAAATGTGGGGTCACTTGTTCAAAACACAGCTCTTGCGCAACGCACCGGTATGTGCTGAGCTACCTTTGCCACTTTTGGAAGAACGTTCTGTCCTCATTATAATGTGGCTGTCGGACGGGGCGGGGCTAGCACCGTAACAAACTTCAGAATTTTTACGGGGATTCGCGAAGCAAAGGGAGAGCTCAGGAGAGAGGGGCAGACAGAGGCTTAGTGCAAAGAAGTGGGCAGGGTGTGTCCGGGTGGGCATCTCAGGCGGAGCAGTGCTCATTACGTTCCGGAAGCAAACACAAACGAAGGCTGTCAGCTCCCATTAGCATCCTCTGATGCTTGCTATACCGCCATATGGACAGTGTGCAGTCGAGAGAAATTAGGGGTTCACACGGGTGAA